CGCAGCACGAACTCCGTCCTCCCCACAAAGCGGCTTCTCCCCTTCTCATCCCTCCCTGCCTCACATTGAGGACGTCAGCCCACCAGACTCGAGGGGCTGTAGCTCCTCATCATCGCTCAGTAAATCCCAGGACAGCATCAGCAGTAGGTGGTGAGTGTTACCCTTCCAAGCAAGCCTGAGATTCCCCTAAGGGAAGGACCAAAGTCCCCAGGGGGCATTTCCATAACAATATGTGCAGTGAGATGGATTCATTTGGGTCTCTTGGTATTGTTCTCTTTCATAATTGCTAAACAGCTGTGAAGGATACCAGCACTCTTCTCAGCCTGTCTTTCAGTTGTTGGTTTAGGTATCAAAAAGCTGTATTGAAAGGTACAAACTTAAGCAGCTGTTCTCTTCCACAAGTTCCATTTTGAGGTCCTGGGTTGTAAGGTCTTGCCCAGGTAATGAAAGTCTAATGCAGGTCTTTTTTGGCTGAACCTTCACTCTTCTTGGACATGAGTGATACCAAGTCCACTCCTGTTGTGAAGGAAAGCTCACAGGCCTCTGTAGCTTTGCACTTGAGAAGCAGGGACTGTGCAACAGCTCCAGCTTTGCTAATTTACCAGACTCTGGTTGCTGGCATGCCAAAGGCATGGACAAACCACCTTTATCATGGTTACCCTGAGAAGGTTTGATAAAGGGAAAGTCTTCAAATATTTTGACCATGATCCAAAACATGAAGCAGTGCACTGAATTGCAAGTGTGGCATTATGGTGCCAGTGATGGCTGGGAGGTTCTGCTGACTGGATCTGCGCTGGCTCTGCTGCCCTGGAGTGACGTTCTGGTTGTGCACACCAGCAGCAGAAAGGCACACACAGACACACAGCCCCTTTTCTCATGCTGATCTCCACATTCATGGCTGGGTCACTGCTCAGGGAATGGCAGGGGGTTGGCATGAGGAGAAATTCAAAGCAGTGCTGAGGGCAATGAGAAGTATGAGGTTTGTGTTGAAAGCACTTGGGTGAATTTGGAGGAGTAATAGATCTGTTTCCTTCCTTTTTCCATCACTTTTCAAGCAGAGTTTAATGGAAACAATTTGTCTTTTACCTCTCTGACAGTTTTTTGTCTATGAGAGGACCTTCTGGCAGATATTGGGACTGGCCACAGCTGAGGCAGTCTGCTAAGGATTAGTTAATCATCATTATTTTATTTTCAAATATTCTGTAAAAGTGGCAATAGCCCATGTTGTTCTCCTCCTGTGCTACTTCCTTCTGCCTATAAAAGAGTAGAAAAAAAGCCAACCAGCTGAATGAACTAAAATAGTTCAGGGTGAGGTGTCAGTGTGGCATCCTTGCTTTAGTACCATCTTTTGTGTTCTCTGAGCTTCATCTGCTGCTCCCTCAGCAGGTCCTGCTCTGGCTTCAGTTTCCCACATGGTTTCAGGAGTAAGTATTGTGTGGGTATAAAGTTCCTATTGTTACGGCACACTGGATATAAAGTTGAAACCATGCTGATAGGTTTTGAAGTGGGATTAAGCAGATTTGCTGCCTTTAAAATCCTTGGGTTTCTGTGTTTTAATGGGCATGGCTGACAAACGTACACTTACTTTCTACTTTTAAAAATATATTAGAACCTGTTACTGAGGTAAAGTGACCCAGTTTCGTCTTTCACTCCCTATTCTTATATATCAGATACATTTCCAGACATTCACAATAATATTAGGAACAGAAGAAATTGGTGGGAACTAAAATTCCATGCCTTAATGTGTAGAATCTTCCAGATTTTTGCTGAATTCTGCAATAATTGAGAATAGCTTTCATTTAAAAAAAAAGAAAACCACAATAGTTTGTCTATTTCAGTTGCCAGGATAAAGCCATCACAATGTAAACAGATGTGCTGCTGCACAGTAAAGCCAGCCTTGCAGAAAACAAGTCTCCAAGCAAACAAAATACTAAAAAAACCCTAATGGAAAGCACAGTTTTCAATACATCTTAACAAAAATAAAATACAGAAATCAGTCAATATCCAGCTAATATGCATGCTTCCATCATATGCTATGCATTTAATATAACCTAAATATTTAACTTCAGGCATTTTTAAGGCACAAATTCACCAGTGTCCAGAGTAAACACATTGTAAAATCCCTAGTCATGGTGATGCTGTCTCTAGGTTAAAGGACACATTTCCAAAGAGATTTGGATGGTTCTGTGCATGGTAGATGGAATGTTGACCCAGGGGCCTGAGGTTTGTCTGTAGCTCTTGTTTTTCTTCAACAGTTTGGCTTTAGGAAAGCCACTTCAGCTCTTTGTCACCCTTAGACAAGACACTTACAAAATGCAACAATATCTAGCATTTATCTTGAGTGGAGAGTTTTCACACTACAAAATTAACAGGACAAAGTGGCATTAGTGGGCAAAATGGCCCAGCAAGCTCTGCTCTGGAATATTGCAGTATCCAACTATATTGTCTTGGAACTGTATTATCATAAAGGTATTGAGTTTGCCTCTGCTCAGTTTGAATGAATGTAATTATGCAAAATAACTGCAGTTCATCTTAAGCCAATACCAGGATTTTCAAAAAAAAGATTTGAATCTCAAAATAATTTTTCTGTAACCAGGTGATTTACTGAAGTGGATGCTCCTACCATGTTTTTGATTAAAGCCTTGGTGTTCTGAGGGCAGAGGCATCATGATAGCAGGGACCTGCAGTCTGAAATCCCACTGGAGGTTTTTTACACGGCAGAAGCAGTTGGGAAGTTTGTTGCTCATCCACCCATATATCTGGTGGTCTGTGATCCCCTGTGCACTGGGGCTGTTGCTCCCCGCTCAGCTGTGCCTGCTTTGGTTGCAGGATGGTGCCGACGTCGGTGGAGCGGCTGCGGGAGGGCCGGGGGATGCTGGAGAAGGTGCTGAGGAGCGGGGCCAAGGTGGCCCAGAGACACGAATCCTCCCCTACCCAGGACTGTGCTCCTGAGAGAGATGCAGGTAGGGTGGGGAAACTTGGGCATGTTTGCTTGGAGGGACATGATGTGCTTGGGGAACTTTGCCAACTTGTCTGTGAAGCTGGTTAGTTGTACCTTCATCTTTAACATTATCAAAGCTGCCTTCTGCAAACCAAACTTTGCTGTTATTCAAATATTGCTTGAGCCTGTATCCCTCTCCTGTTGGACCTAGAAGACTTCTAGATTTTTTTCTAGGGATTGAATCCAAGACTGTCTGCACCTTGACTCTGACAGGGACAGCTTCTTTGTCCTTGGACAGATGGGTTAGCACTTCCTAAGCTGTGAAATAGCTGTCATTTAATGAACATTGGGTGAACATTCAAACAAGTGTATTACCTTGTTTCTGAGCAGTTTAGGGCAAGTATGTATTTCCTTCATTACAAATGAGGCTGCAGTAAGGTGTGTTTGAGACAAGCTTTGAAAATTGGCTTCTCATTTGGAGTTCTCCTAGTTTTGTACATCTAAGCACATTCTTTCAGTGCTTTTTCTTCATCTAGTCTTGAGAGGAAGTCCTCTTCTCTATCTAGTATGTCACATTTTCATGAGACTCAATTGGGAGTCTTTTCCCTGTCTTTCCCATACCAGTGGAAGTGGTTTTCCTGGTTAATTTTTGGAGGGGTAGGCAAAATTCAGGCTTTTGGAACAGGTCTTTGCCCAATGTTACTTGTACAGCTCTGGCTCTTCAGTGTCACCCAAGACTTAGGATGGAGTTAAACTTTCATCTGCAGTGATAAATTCTTTCTTGTTACATAAACCCCATCCCATTCTGTGTTGTGAAAACCTAATGCTGCAGCTGACAAAAGTCATCTTGTTTCCTTCATCCTAGCACAGCAAAGTACTTTTTTTCTTTTTTTGCTTGCTCTGGCAATTTCTTCAGAAGCTTGTTTAGATTCTTGCTTAGATTCTTTGAGCCACCTCCCCTCCCCCAGTTGCTGCTCTGCTTCTTAGTGAAACAAATGGGTGGCTGAGTCCCTGCTGTTCCTGGTAGCACCTGGAGAAGTAATGAAGATGCACATTTTCACTTGCTGCTGCTGTAACAGATAATATTAACAGGAACTAAAAAATCCCAAAGTTAGAGGGTTTGCTGATGAGGCATGTAGCAATGAAATGGAATTTGTGTAATTTGTGTGCATTGCACGCTTCTGAGAACTGCAGCTGCTCTCAGCAAAACTTGTCACTTCATATATGCTTTAGGTTGACACAGTACAGCCAAGAAAAGCAGTTATTCATGTCCTTCCCTTGTGCAGGTATTGAGAATAGGGGAGGAAGATGTTGGCTCTAGCTTTTAAGTTTACATAAAGCAAATTCAGAAAGGTCATAGTTTATTTACCATTGGTAATTTAGTCTTTCAGTAGTCTTTAACTTGTCAAGGTTTCTTTCTGGGAACAGGCACTGCCAGTAAATTGCATAGCCCTACTGGTGTGCCCAGCCTTTTAAGGAACAGTTTCTTCCAGAAATCTTTATATTTCTTGTGATTCTTGTATTTGACTTGTGTTAATCACAGCAGTCTCTGAATTGAGCAGCTCCTCTGTGCATGACTTTTTAACAAAACACGTCCTAAACTTCTGAATTTTGTCATTCGGCAGTACTTGTGATGCCTTGAGGAAGCTGACCTAGAACAGAGGCTAGACAGAGTTAAAGAATAAAGTAGAGATTTATTAAAAGGCCTTAAATGGATACACCTTGGACAGCACAAGAGCCTGGCCAGGCCACACCCAAGATGAACTGAAAGTGGTCACAAAATGGATGACCAGTCACAAGGTCTCACACTTTTATAAATTCTGGTCCATTTCCATATTGGAGTTAAATGTGCAATTATGGCTTTAGCTTATGAAGTTCTATCCTCCTTGTTTTTCTCTTTTCAATTCATTGTTGTTTATACTTTTTGGGCCTGGAGCTTGTAACAGCTGTCCTTGGACAAGCTGGAAAAGGATTGTTTTGTCTACTTACCTAGTGAAGAGAACTTGCTAACACATAATATGAAGCTCAGAGTTACACACTAAAGCAGCACAGAATCTGAAAAATATAAAAGCTAAAACTTAAGGCATCACTTGAAATGTCGCCAAACAGGCCCTTGCTTATCAATGACATTTCAGAAATGGAAGGGGGCACAGGACACGTGCTGGAAGCTTCACGGCCTGGTCTCTGTGCAGGCCTGTGCCCTGAGGGCATTTCTGAGCCTCAGGAACAGGCAAGGGCCACATCCAGACCCTGTTAGCTAAGCCAGCACTGTGGTGTAGCACTGAGAGCACAATGGCAGCAGAACCATGGGCCCTCCTGGCACTGATGCTTGTGTCAGTGCAGCTGGGGCAAAGCCAGACTTGTCTGGCAGGAGTACAGACCAGACTGAGGCAGCGTGTCCTGTTTCATGACTGAGACACATCTGTCATATAAATTTGATACTAATCCCAGCATGTTTCACCAAGGCATTTCAAACGCGGCTGCTGAGAATCCCTGAGATGCTGCAGATAAACAGTTCTGTCTCATTAGTCTGCAGGAGAATTCTGATGTGAAATCATCTAGTTCCAGCAACTTCCCCCCTCCTGCAGAAAGCAGGATCACCATCCTTGGTTACAGGGGTGGCAGCTGAAGCACACAGTTGGCACAGTGGCTGTGCCACTGCTGTAAGTGCTTCTTGCCTACCCCAGGTCAAGTTCAGTGGTATGGTAGGACAAGCTCACCAACCCTTGAAGTGCAAGAAAGGCTTACTCTGTCAGGAAGCATTTTATTCCTCTTGGTCTCTCACATATCTGAGGTGGATCAGAGTGTGCTGTATGCTGCCGGTGCCCTTCAAACCTCAAAGCGTTTCCATCATCTTGGCCTGTTAGAAAAACAGGCATTTCTGAGTTCCAGGAGTATCTCTGTTTGTAGCAGCTCAGTTGGCTTGTAAACCATAGTCCCCAAAATGGCAGCATGGGATGTCTTGTCTTTGGAAGCATCTGGATCTGTCTTTGAGGAAAAGCCACCACAGGGTCCTGCTGACAGCCCTCTGAGCAGGGCAGCTTTGTCTCCTGAGATGTAACTGTATCCAGTGTGGATTCCTGTAACCAAGACTGAGTGAAAAATTAGCGAGTCCCTAGAAACCATCTTCTGCCTCCCATACACTGAAGAGCCAGCCAGGGGAGCCCTGGCTGTATCTGTGCATTATCTCCAGGTGTGGTCATTCAGACAGGCTGGTCCAAGGCAGCTCAGCTTTGTGATAAACCAGAGCACACTGGTGTGAGGGGAGTGGCCACTCTTACACATGTGGCTGTTCCCACATGTTAAGGTTTGCCAATTGTCTTTTGCTGGGTTTCTTCAGTTTCTGAAATGGTGGTGGCTGGGGAGGCTGGAACACAAGGGCTGGACTGTGCAGTGTCATGTGAAGGGAGCTGCTGTGGCCTCAGCCAGTGGGGTGAGGTTTAACATCTGCCTGTACATTGCAGATGCAGCAGAAGGAGACACTCCAGAAGCCCACAAAGGACCAGCAGTTTACAGTCCTTCTCGATACAGCTACCAGGTAAATGCTTTCATATCTTATCTGCCATTCTGAAATAAAGCTTTTATAAGGAGGGAAACAGTGCTTAGCTGCCATTGTTCACAGTGCTGCACTAAGCACCTTAGGATGAGAAGCAGGTAGGAAACGGACAAGTCAGCCTGACGTGCATTTTCCTTTTTTCCCGCGTGCCTCGTTCAGCTGCTGCAGTCTGACAGTCCCCAGGCAGAATCCCAGACCCTGCTCCAGCAGAACTCCTCCCCGTACAGAGGGCACCTCGCGTCTCCTGGATACAGCTACCGAGCAGCAGCACAGAGGACAGGACACAGCCTGTCCCACGGTTCCTCGGAAACATCCCTCTCCTCCACCTCATATTCCAGCCCTGCCCACTCGGTCTCCACAGACTCCTCTGCCCTGTTTGCAGGGAATTCGGGGTATTTCAGCAGCCAGCAGCACTCTGGCAGCGTCAGCAGCAGCCTCCTGAGGAAGAGCTGCCCTGCGGCTGCCAGCCCGGCACAGCAGCCAGCTGTGGACTCTCTGTGCTCGGAGTCGGGCTCCCAGCCCTGCACGGGCGTGTCGGGCTCTTCCTCCGCTCCCCAAAGTGCTCGCTCACTACAGTCAGACTTGCGGACTATCAGCCTGCCGAGCTCGGGCCAGTCTGTGCTCTACCAGGGCTCCCGGGGCGCGGTCATTTCCAGTGCACAACACTATCCGCACCGCGGGGGAGGCAGTGTCCATCAGTACAGACTGCAGCAGCTTCAAGGTTCTGGAGTAAAGACTCAAACAGGACTTTCCTAGGGCTGCCTGGACTTCAGGAGGACAAAACTGCCCATAGCTCCTTCCAGTCACCCCTGGAAGTGGCTCCTGGGCTGGTGTTGAAAGCTTGCACCTGATGCTGGGGTGCCGGGGGTCAGAGGCTGAGGTCGAAAATGCACGGGTGAGATTTGTGAGCAGTATTGGCCTCTGGCCTGGTAGGAGAACACAGATTTCTCTGAGGCAGAGACTGTAGCAAAGCAGTTCCCTGACATGTGGGTACATTGCAAAAACAAAAAGAAACAAACAGAAAAGAAAAAAAAAGAAAAAAAAAGGTTCAAGTGCAATGACTGTGGCACAGCCTCTGTCTCTGGTCCGTGCCCATGGCCACAGTCACACATGCAGCACGGACACAGTTCTGAATTCAAAAACAGTTTAAAGGAAACGTTGGGGGAAGTTAACTCCAATCTCTTTATAGGTCAGGTTCTCAGTGCGTTCTGGGGAGGGCTTTAATCCGTTACGATCATTCCAGTCACAAGCAGACGAGCGCACACGGCTGCCTTTGGGCTTGGGTCGCCACTGCCGCCGCCGGGGCTTTTCCAGGACGGGAGAGTCTCCGCAAATGCAAACAGCACGGGAGGGTTGGAGTGTGTGCCTGTGGCTGCAGAGGATCCGGGGTGCGCTGTCCTGCACTGCTTCATTGCAGGTCTGTGGTGAACGAGTGTTTTTGAGGTCGCTTAAGGAGTCTGTGAACAGGAGCGCGGCCGGGGCTCTCTGGCTGAGGTGTGCAACGCACAGGGGATGGCCGGGGGCCTGAGCACTCAAGTGATGCTGCGGCACACGGGGGCTGCAAGGGGCCCCACAGTGTGGGGTGCAGGGTGGGCACCCCGGTCTGTGCTGAGCCAGAGGCTCTCCAGGCAGTGCCATGTGGGTCTTTGCCAGCCGCTGTCACCCGCCGAGCGTGGCAGGAGAGCCAGCCCAGACAGTGCGCTGTGTGTTCAATTCCATACGATTGCCAGCTTCTTTCTCACTTGTTTACTGTAATATCGGGCGTGTTTTTATTTATCTAATTTTATATTCAGTTATAACCATAGTAGGTTAGCTAATATATGACAGGTGTCATCCCTGGTGCTGCAGTGGAACTTCTCCTTTCTCTTGGATAACATAATGCTGTGAGTCTGTCTCCCCTCTCCTTGCAGATGCACAGTCTTCTTCCTCTTTTTTTAGGACTGTTACAGATTTCTCTAATTCACAATTGAAATCAGGTGTTTGTTCAGCCTAGGGGAGACTTTTAAAATATTGAAACAAAGAGTAGCTTTCTCACACTGTCTGGCTGTGAGCGTGTTGGGATGGAACTTGTCACCCCGCAGTTGGGTGTCTGTATACTGTATAACATAGGTGTAAACTTCACTCGGCTTAGCCCTGGAGGTGCAGCCTCCCCTTTCGTGCTCTGAGCAGCACGGGGCAGACAGGCTCTGCCCTGCCAGGCGGCGGGAGGGGCCGGGGGGCCCTGCCCAGAGGCTCCAGCACCTTCGGGCGCAGCAGGGGGGCAGGAGGGAGGGACCCTGGAAAGCTCTAGGAAAGGTGGGGGCTGTAGCTTCTTACTCTAGTGGAGTTTTTACACCATGCTGTAACATTTGAACTTTCACAAGAGATGTAATAATTTTGATAATAAAAATACTTAACTTGAAAACTAGTATTGCTGCATTTCTTACCACCTTGAGCACTGGTGCCCAGGACATAGGGGCAAGAGGGTGAGGGCACGTAAGTCTCTTCCCTGTCTCCTGCGGGGTGAGCAAATCCTTGCAGGAGCAGCCTTGCAGACCTCCCTGCTGCCTTCTGCCAGGTGAAGCTTGGAGCTGCTGTGGGAGCTGCTGTTCCTTAGGAAATTCCCCGAGCTTCTGGCTGGGGTTGTGGGAATTTTGGCTCTGCTGCTGCTGTTCTTCTTGCCCAAGCTCATTTGGGGAGGAGATGGATTTGGAGGATGTCTCCTGCACAACTGCACCTGCTTTAAAACCTGTTTTCTGGTTTCCAGGGTTTTCATACTGCTTGCCTTTTCCTTAGGAAGCCTGACAAGGGCTGAGCCTGGTGTGGGGTCTCCCAGGTGTGTCTGCAAGTGCTGGTTTGAGGTGCCCACGGCTTCTGTTCTTCAACTGCCCTCACTGTGAGAACATTCCCCCTGACACTGTGGGACACCATCTGTCATGGTTCATTCTGTCCTTTTGTGTCCCCCAAAGGAGTGGCTCCATCTGCACTACTCCTTCCCTGAAAGCAGCTGTGGGTAGCACCAACCCTGCATCTGCCATGTGCAGGGCTCACCTGGGCTGTGGGTGTGTCCCACACCAGGGGAGCCAGACCTGGCCAAAGCTCTCTGCAAGTCCCAGAGCTCCCCATGTTGCCCTCACACAGCCTGGAATGCTCTCCCCACTCTTCTACCAGAGCATGCCATTAAACTGACTGGCCATGTATTTTTTTTCCATCCAGACACTGGAATTTGATGAATTTCAGGAGCTTTTTGAATAATTTCATGGATTTGCCTATCAGTCTGTGTTAGTGAGCTGACAGACCACTCATCGTGCACTGTGGACAGGCAGAAGGGACGGGTTCAAAGGCTCCTTGGGATGGATGGGATCCTGCTCCACCCCTGCTTTGTCTGGGGGACAGACCCTTTTTGGGGACTCCCTCTGGCCAGAGCCCCTCCCCGTGTGCCAGCCCATGTGGGCAGAGGCTCAGCTCCCCAGGCTGCAGAGTGGGCTCCCCACCACAGCTCAAGACACAGGGGCTTCTCTGGCCTCCCACCTCCTTTGGTGATGGCCAGGAGGAACCCATCCCAACCCTCCCCACAACACAGGGCTCCGAGCTCGTCTGGTTTGAATTATATTTTTCAATAAGGTTTTGTGAAACACTGTATCAAACTTTGTACTAAAATACAGATATATTACAGCTACTGTATTCCTTTCTCCACTGATTTTCTTGGTTTGTTTTTTCCAATTCATCTGGCAACAGCACTCTCAAGCTGGCAAGACCCGGGCGCTGCGAGTTCCTGTTGACCTGGTTCTGGGGGGCAGCTGTCAGAGGGACGTGGGCACCGCTGGGCTCATGGCTGGCGGAGGGCGCTGGCAGGAGTGCTGGCACGCACTCCATCCCGGGCGGCTTGGGCTCCCAGACGGTGTTTCGGCGCAGCTCCATCCCCCACCGCCACCCGCAGGGCCTTAGGGCACCACTTACCTGCTGCAGCCCGCCCCCGGTGCGTGTGAGGCGCTGGGTCCCGCAGGGCCCTTCCTGCCGTCCCCCAGAGCCTCCGCGCTGCGTGGCCCATCCCAGGACCGCGGTCCCACTCTGCTCCCACTCGCCTGCTCCCTGGCCTTGCTCAGCGTCTCGGTCCAGCCCTGCCAGGGCTCCAACAAGCCCCTGGCCCTGCCCTGGGCCCTGCAAGGAGCCCCAGCTGCTCGCACTGAGACGCGGCCAGTGCCGAGGACTTTATTGCATTGCGAGGGCGGTGGTGACCCAAGCCCCTGTGGCCAGGGGAAGCCCGCACACACACGCTGGCCTGGCCAGCAGAGCCACAGCCGGGCCGCAGCCACCCGTGCCGGTGTCGGCTCTCGGGTGCCGTGTGCGGGCCTCGGAGGCCGCCGGCGCTGCCCGGGGCAGCAGCCACGGGCTCCCCGCACGCCATCACCGCGGGCCGGCGAGGCGCAGCCGGGAGGCCGGGTGGGCACAGGAGCGCTCGGGTACACCCGGCCGTGCCGTGCGGCAGGGAAAGCCTTGCTGTCACCAGTGGAGATAAAGCACCGTATGGGGATGGGGAGGGAAGGCGTTTGGCAACAGCCCGCGGCCGGCTCGGGGAGGGGTCTTGGCGGGAGGGTCCTCCTGTGCCCGCCCGGGGGGTTTGCATGTTCAGCTGCTCCCACTTACCAGGGCTTACATTCAACGGCGGCGCCAGTCGGGTGTCCCACGGCCGGCAGCAGCGAGGCCCCTGCGGTCCCCGTGCTGAGGGGAGCGAGCAGCAGCCTGCGGCCCCAGCCACGCACCAGGAAACACCGTGTCCTGGGCTGGACTCCCGGGGCGGGGGGAGAGGGGGCTCGAGTCACTTTACCCTGTTTAGAGAATATGAATTTACATGTAAAAGTAGGGGTTGGGCCCCATCTCGGCCACCGGGTCCCCTGGCTGTGGAGACAGGATCACGGAGCTGTACAAAATGGGAGTGGGGAGGGGTCCGGGACCCGGAGCAGCCGGCACGGGGCGTCACTGGGTGCGCGTTCGGGTGGGAGGCAGCAGGTCAGGAGTCCTGGGGATGTAGAAATCTGTTAAAAACTCCAAGACTGTTTTTTCCTTGAAACAAAACCGCAGCTGGATTCTGTTCTTGAACAAAGCGGGTCTGAGGCATCCTCCCCCGAAGGCGGCCCGCAGGCAGCGGTGGGTACGGAGCTGGCAGGGTGCGTGGGATGGCGGTGCCGGCGTGGACATGGAGGTGGCCATGGATGCGGCGGGCGGCTGGCGCATCCCTGGCACGGGCACCGGGGCCCGGAGGGCGGCGCGGGACGCGGTGTGGCCGCTGGCAGCAAATGAAGGGCAGGACAGGGAGGGAGCGCCCAGGCTGCCGGCCATGGGAAGAGGGTCCTGCTGCGGATGGTCGGCCTTATATCCTCTGCAGGGAAAGCACAGCAGGTTGGGGATGGACTTGGGCTGCTCTTACTGCACCATCGTGCTACTGGCATGTGCCAGGCATGTGCCTGTCCCCATCCCTGCCACCCTGTCTCTGCTGCCTCCCTTCCCCATTGCCCCCAGCCCTGCTGCCTGCACAGCCAGGGTCTCCCATCCCATCCCATCCCATCCCATCCCATCCCATCCCATCCCATCCCATCCCATCCCATCCCATCCCACATCACACAGACACCAAGCACAGTCACACCCAGAGACACCACAGAGGGACAGGGGACAGGACAGTGACACTCAAGGCTTACCGCAGTGCCAACAAAATCTGTGGAAACAGAAGAGAGAGAGGTCAGGCAGGGCAGAGGCTCAGCAGCTCCCTCCCACCCTGCCCAGCCTGGCTTGCCTTGTAGGTGCCAGTTAAGCCCACAAGGCTGCTCCCACCCAGGATCCCCCCAGCAGCACGGTGCTGACCTTTGCTCTCTGTCTTGAGCTCCTCGTGCAGCAGGTCGTTCTGCCGGTTGCCGAGAACAAAGGCCAGGAAGGAGAGGATGAGGGCGTTGAGGATGCCGATGATGGCCAGGATGTAAGCCCAGCGTACAGAGCAGTCGCCCAGGGAGTACTTCCCTGTCTTCTCCCCACACATGTCCCGTATG